AGCCTGGCTGTCGGATAAGATTGTTATTCTTCTCCTAGGCCCACCCTCCTCCAGAATGTGAGATACACAAGCCAGAATCGCAAAGATTTCCGCCTGGAAAATGGTGGTGTACTCACCGAGAGGCAGAGATAGCCTAGTTCTAGGTCCAGAGACCCCAGCACCTGAGCCCTCTTCGGTGACCGAGCCGTCCGTGTACCAGACCTGCCCGCTCACTTCGGAGAGTCCTCGGCTACCGGCGTCCCACTCCTCCCTCGTTGGGTACTCCACAATAAACTTGCGGTTGAAGCGATATTTAGGGGTAATACGATCACCCCTGCTTAGAAGGACGGGGTCCTCCCTTTCTAATTCGACTAATATGGCAGTATGCCCCTTGACCGGATTCAAGAAAGCCCAGCTGCCCTGACTCCACAGTCGATGAGCGACTACTCTCGCTTCACCGCGGATCACCAGATCAATGCTTATACTTAGTATAATGTACTCTCACTTAAGCCATTGCCATTGACCATTATTAAGCATTTTGTTAGAAAAAACAAGTACATACTCCTATTTCACGTGAATATTTTATAATACTTAGCTATGATAGTGATGATTATGTACATATAAAATTCGGTGGTGTTATAGATATCGTACGCGTAACATAAACGAGACATGCCAAACGTAACTTTTTAGCGGTGACTCTATCCCATCTGGGGCGAGCTTTTTTCTTTCTCATTCTATTTCAGTTTTCAGAAAATAGCAGATTCTTTTATTTTGGCATATTTAATAATATCAATTGTTATCAATATTTCCTAGTTTCTCGCATTTACCTTCTTAAATGCAACTGAATCGGTATTAGCAAAAATGTATTCATTCCAGTAGCAGCAATATAGGTAGCAAATAATATATTCCAAAAATTTTTGTCTAGAAGAAAAGGTTATTGGGGGCTTTTATTTACTTCCGATGTTTACTTGCCTGAAACCTTATCGTTCAGAGCAGTTGTTCTTTGTGCACTCATATTTTGTTTTTTCTCTCCTGTGATTTGTGCTGTTTATGTGTAATTGGAAACTGGAAATTTCAAAGGCATGTGTGTGTCCGTCAAGGTGCGTAAACGCAATCCCCATAGAAATTGCAAGCTTTCAAAACGGATTAGAGGAGCATTGATTATGATAAAATAAAACAATTTGAGCCCTTCCTTTTAAAATGGTAATTATTTTTTAAAATTACTGTTGAGGCCGAACTTTATGTTAGTGGTTTAGCTACCCGCATCTCATAAGCAGTTAGGTATTGTAGTTGAATCAATCTGATTTTTGTACAATCTACTGCTATGACCAGTATTTGACATTTTTGAAAAGCAAGTTCTCCTCTCGGGGAAAATTAATTAACCATAATAAAAACTACAATAATAGCAAAAAATCAATAAAAAGCACAATTGCTGTATATTGCGTGGTTGCTTTCATTATACGTTAATTACAGTCCGGTCAATTTCCATTCGATTTGGTGGTATGGTTCTCAAACAAATCGAATTTTTGTGAACGGATTCACAAATACTCAAAAAGCCAAAAAATCTAGCTTTCAGAAGCATAGGTAGTTATTTTATTATCCTTTCTATAAAAGATTTTTTTTGGACCACTATAAACGGATCACTCTGAATACATTTTTATACGTCTTTTACAAATTTGCTACTATGAATAATTAAAATTTTCTTGTTTATATGGAAACTCTATATTCCTGAGTTTATATGTATACAATGACGCTGGAAAAAATGAATGTATTGTCCGAATAAATCTAAATCTGAATATATTTGATGTTTTATTCCATATGTCTTGATTCATGACGATATTTTAAAAATGCATCTTGTCTAATTTTAGCATTTTTGAGACACGTCGAAAAAGGAAAAATTGAATTTTAATTAGAATATAAAATACAGCTGATTACGCCCAAAAGCCATCAAGATCTCCATGGGCACCTGGGCGCCCGAGGAAAAGCGGGGAGTAGCAAACGTTCTCAGGAGGCAAATCCTAAAAATTGCACTCAAAATCATGCTAAATATGTAAACTTTATGGACGAACCGGATTCTCAGGAGGAGCCACGCTGCTTTCCTATTAAAATTATTTTCGGAAAGTGTAGAGTTCTTTGCTTAATCATATTCAGCAAAAAAAAATACATCAGACTATGGAAGAACTCTTAAAAAAATCACAAATGTGATTCCCTCCTTGCTGTGGCAAGTAACATTGTGAAAGCAAAAAGCTCATATAATTAATATTCATTTCATAAACATTTCAACTCTAGCATTTGAATCACTGGCGCTCCCAAAGAATCACTTCATGAACCCCATCCTTTCTCAGCCGCTCATTCCAGATTTAGCATTTTGTTTAATTGTAATAGCTAGAAATAATCATAACTCCGTGACAATGCATTACACACAAATGTTTGTGCTATTTATTCTGCCCGTTGCCTACTGACTTTACCTCTTGCGAGAGAATAAGATCTTAGGAGCGTCAATGGTTTGAAACATATTCCAATAGAAATCTTCAGGTTTTGTCTTATTTTAGTTTTAACGTCCATCGGCATTCCTCCGTCTCCTTGTCTAGCTTCCAACATACAAAAATCAAATCATCTTAAAAAATCTATTGACCCTACCAGTGTCCCGAGAGGTAATCTATACAGAGTGCTTCCGTCTTTTAAACGGACATAGCCAAATGGTAGGTGGTATGAACCAAGGCCTTATCATAATGAAAATAAAGAAGTTCTAAATACATTTTTCGCAAATTTACGATTTATCCAGACAGAAAACTGTAGAATTTAATATATCAGACCATAGCAGACATTTTGAAAACCTCTTGTAAATAACATAAATGAATAATAATCTGCTGTTCAGTAAAAATCAAACGTGTTTTTGTGGTTTTTGCAAATTTTTTTTCCGAAACTAACAATTTCTATTGAGCAGAGGGTTATCCAATTTTGGGTTCGGTTCTATTTGAGCCACAATTACGGTAGCATGTAGTAAAGCTAGGTTGATGAAATTTTTACGGTAAATAGCTGATACCGTAAGGAAGTTTTTAAGATACTTACGAATAGTAAGAACATGTTTTTTTCAATTTTTTATAAACGTTGCACTTTTTTACTTTTTTGTTATGTTCGAAGATTTTGAAAAACATTAAAAAGTAGTATTAGTTACATGACTTGAATGATTATATGATAGTTAAGCCTTAGGTCTTAGCTACATAATCGTGAAAAAAGCAGGCATTTATCACAATTATTAACGAAGTTATGGTAAAAATAAACACAGAACTCAAAAATTCTCGAAAAATCCGAAAAAAAATCATAACTCCTAAACTAAACAAAATCGGACCATATATATGGGGGTGATTTGGGTTCCTCTCGATGTGGGGAATCTAATTTTTTTTTATGACGTCACGTGTTTGGCCACCCTATATATATAATAATAAATAAATAAAAAAAATAAGGCTGGATTTTTTAAATGTAAAATCAGTTTGTGTTCCAAAGACATTGAGAAAATAGCAAAAACTTGGCCGACTATGATCAATATTTCCATAAATATTGATTTCTTATCTAAATAAACTCATAGGAAGAAAGAAAAAAATTAGGTAAGGCGCAGTTCGATTAAATTTTTGTTTTAAGTACCATCAACTGGCTATTTCTGTACAATGTCAAACTTTTCGATATGTACTTTCGTATATACTTATGGGTGTTGATTTTAACAAAATAAAAAATCTGCTCCTGGACCTTTTAGTACTCTTATCAGTTTTAAATTACACCTAATCACTCCTAAAATTGTGCAAAATCTAAGTGAAATCGCTTCACTTTCACTGTTATCTGAAATATTGAATTTTATAGTTTTGGCGTGTTTACAAAAATTATCCTGGATATTCGTTAAAAAAGAATTTCGAACAGAAGGCGAAACACTTTGTTTATAAGGATATGTCGTCTAGTAACAACGCTAGCGGCAGGCTGAATTATTCTGTGCTCGTTGTCAGTGCCCAATAGAAGACGAAGACGGGGTAAAGGGGTACAACCATGGTACAACCCTACGCTTTGTCGGTACGGAGGAAGACACTCAGCCGGCCGCTTGAAAAACAATAAACTCTGTTATCGCAACTTTGACAACGCCGCGTCATGCGGCCATCGCTGATACCGGTGTTCTGTTGAGCAGTAGGTTTGATTTAGGAGTGGCTATTGCCTGCTTTACACTTGGCATGTGTAACTCAGAAAAAAGTACAAGTGTCCGATTGCCGGCAAGTGGCAAGTAAAGTTGAGGAGCCCGCTACTTTACTGGTTGACTTTCCTGTCCAGACGCGTTTGTTTCCCTGTGTAGACAGTCCCTAGACAAGTTTAGAAAGTTAAAATGAAGTGGAACAGTGATCAAATAATAGCATTTTTAAATCTTTATGTAAAATATGAAGTACTGTGGGATACACGAAGCAAGGATCATATGAATCAATTAAAGAGGGGTACTGCATTTGACAGTCTATTGAAAGATCTGAAAGAAATGGAAGGATTTGAAAACGTAGATGTGCCCATGATGAAAACTAAATTAAAAACCATAAAAACTGTATACAGGCAAGAATTAAATAAAATTTTAAAGTCCAAAAAAAGTGGATCTGGTACAGATGATGTATATAAGCCGAAGCTTATTTGGTTTGCTAAGGCGGATATATTTTTGAGGAATGTCACCATCAGCAGGAAGACAACAAACAACATGGTAAGGGCATATATTTTGTTTTAATGTTTATATATACGTACATATTAGTTAGATATATTATTTAGATATTATGTAGGGCTCTATCAACACATTGCTTCATAAGCCTACCATTCTATCTTGCCACGGTACAGCGCCTTCTCCATTAAAAAAATCTGTGTATTTCTCACGCAATAGCCTTGCAGATTGTGAATAGTTATTTGTCCCTAAATTTGCGACAGATTGCAATGGTTCAACTTCAGAACGCCATAAACCATTTATGATTTCTCCTGTATCAATATCTTCTCTGTCAATCGAATCTCTAGGAATATATACCCTGGAACTTGTAGTTCGGAGCCAGTTATGCAATGCACAAGAAGCTTTCACTACCAGATCTACAGTATCTAGTTTTAAGTTAATAACTTTGTGAAATATTCGGAATCTTGCGCTTAAAATACCGAATGCATTTTCCACAACCCTCCTAGCTCGCGACAGACGATAATTAAATATTCTTTGTTTAATAGTTAGCGATCCGGTATAGGGTTTGAGAAGATTATTCCTCAAAGGGAATGCATCATCACCTATTATTAAGGAATCTTGTGGAAAATTTAATGATCCATTTATCATAGCCTTATTCAAATCAGAATTCCTAAATATAGTGCTATCATTTGCTCTACCATCGGCCCCTACTTCTATATATTTAAAGCAATAAAATCTGCGTCAACTAAAGCAAAAAGAATTATGATGTAAGTTCCTTTATAATTATAGAATTGGGATCCACTATTCGGTGGCGCTGCACCTGAACGTGTTTTCCATCTATCGTTCCGCAGCAATGAGGGAAATTTCACTGTACAGAAAATCCTTCTTCAATATGTCTCCATTCTTCTTCACTTTCAGGAACCTGTAACAACATATGTTTAAATTTAAAATTTTTATTTCTTCATGCTGTATTTATTAACGTTATATCAATAGGTATCGTGTTATGTACACGTAAATTATTACTTAAGTAATTTTGTTTTCAGAGCGAACAGAATAACAGAAATGAAGTGGACAGTGCAGAAGATGAAAATGATGAAACGCCAAGTGAGTCAAAAGGTATTGAATGTGACACACAATTCCACACCAAAACGAAAAGAGTGTAGTAAAGATAAGGCTGCTCGTAGTCTTCCCATACAAACTGCAATCGACAATCTAAAGGAGATTGTACAACAAAATGTAGGGAAAGTGGACGATGAATACGACTGTTTTGCTAAACACGTTGCTTCCCAAATGAGACAACTTCCTGTACCAAGTTTTATAATTTTGCAGGAAAAAATCCAAAAACTGATTACTACTGAGAGATTAAATCAATTTTCGTCAGTAAGCCAGAATTTTCAGAACAGCGAACCACATCAAACCTTACAAAATCCATACCATGTATCTAACCAGAACCACCACTATTCACAAAACAATTTCTCAGGCTTACGGAACCATCCGAATTTCCAGACTTCATCATCGATGCATAGCCAAAACAACCAGTATCAATGTGAAGCGATTACCTTGCACCAACTGGAAACTAGACCCTCGACATCGTCATACAATTACTCTCAGGACCAATCTTCTGACATCATCGAAGCTGCACTATCTGGTATTGATTATAGTGACATTTAAAACCGGCAAATATGTTTACTCATAGAAAATGTAATAATTTCCAAATAAAACCATAATTATATAAACCATGTTTTCTTACCTTTATGTAGTTGCCAGGCACTTCGGATACAGCCAACAGAACATCTGGTAAAAAAGCAGAAATAGTGCACCTCGGTAGTCTGTATAAGTTTTGTAGAGAGGCCAAACTGTCGCCACTAGCCAGGTATCGCAATGTCACCTCCAATTTTATGCGGGGAGGAAGTGGGGCTCTCCGATTTTGTAAGTTTTGATGCAACTAGTGTTAATAATTCATCAAATTTTGAGGGCGATAATCTCATAAAATTCTTATATGTTTCTGGATCTTCGGTTGCTATCTCTTTTAGAAGTCGAGCGGAAGCCCCTAGAATATTTCTGCGCTTAATAGAAGCCTTTACCCATACTGGTTTCTTTTTTTTTTCTTTTCAAGTAAATGATTTGCAATTGCGATAGCAATTACTTTAACAGCACCACGTACAACCGCACTTGGAGCCATTTTGGTTTTCTACTTGTCAACCAGTAAACTAGCAAAAGTGTAGACAAATATCCCACAGCACGTTTACTGGCGGCAAGTACTTTCCGCCAGTAAACTTACCAAGTGTAAAGCAGGCATATGATTTAATCCAGGGTATAATAACTGAGCTGTCACCTAGCGGATTACAAGTTTCTTTGCAGAGTGATGGATTCCCTCAGCGCAGGGACCACATTATCTACCTCTCAGGTAGGGATGGCAACGATACATCGATGTATCGAAAACATCGATACATCGGACGTAGAACATCGATGTTTAGGCATCGATGGTTTTATGACGATATATCGATGTATCGACATCGAAAGTATCATAAACATCGGTATACCCCGAGTATATCCTTAACTGTTCTACCATCTCTAAGCGAGGACTGGTAGCTTCTAAATTGAAAGCCCAGAAAGCTGTTTAGTAGTATCTCTATAATATTATGATTACAGCCGTGACATGGACTGTAGTCTTTTCTTTATTCTGTACTTCCCCAAGGGATATAATAAAATAAACGGAAAACAGCGCAATTTACGCATTTAATGATTTCAGGTTCTTTTGATTATTTTATTGTACGTAGTTGTAGTGTCGCTGTTTTATTGTTAATTAATCGAAATGCCACGAAAAAGTGATGTCTGGAAGTACTTTAAGAAACACTCTTCAACTTGTGCAGAGTGTAAAGTATCTAATGATCATCAATGTGTTCATAATTTTAACAATCTCATATCTTGCAGTTTCCTATAATCATACTTTTTTACTGAAATATATTGCAGTCGGTATCCTTCTTTTATCCTAACGTGAAGTTGGTGTCGCGTTTTTTATTCTTACTTAATGGTTCAGAAATCGAGAAAAAGAAAACGCGGTGGGAATTCCACCAACGGATAAAATGACCATTCCGCTAAAACCGATAGCAATCCATGAATTCGTTGCTGAATTGAAAGCAGAAAACGTTAATAAGAAGAGTTGTTTCGATGCATCGATGTATTTGTTCCGATGTATCGAGCTCCATCGATGTTGCGATGGCGATGTTTTTCGATGTCCAAACATCGATGTTTTCTAACAAATTGCCATCCCTACTCTCAGGTGACTGCGTCGGCCGATGCTATTTCTCCTCCGGAGCCTACTTGCACACACACCGATTTTGGACGGCCGGTAAAATATCGACCGATTTTTTATTGGTAGGCTCTTCTTAAGGCGGCATTACACGCTACGAGATATCGTCGCGATTTATCGATGATGTGATTGGCAAATTTATTGCTCCGATAAATCCAAGGTGGGGTACTGTTTACATGCTCCGAGAAATTGTAACAATTCCTTGTCACATTCTATCGACGACCAGCTATAGACCTGTCAGTATTAATCGGATGTTTAGTGAGTAAAAAAAGGAAAAATCGCGGAAACCCAAGTGGAGTCGCGAGTGGTTACTGAAGAAGAGGGAATTCTCTCATGTGAACTTATTGCAAGAATTGAGTAGTGAGTCAAATGACTGGCGAAATTATTTGAGGATGGACGAGGGGACTTATCTTGAGTTGTTAAGCTTATTTTCTCCGTTGATTGCGAAACATGATACTGTAATGAGAAGAGCGATATCCCCTCACAAAAGACTGTCAGCTACCTTACGATTCCTTGCCACCGGAAGAACCTTGAAGGACATGGAATATTCTACTGCGATTTCTCAGCCAGCTCTCAGCTCAATAATCCCAGAAACCTGTGAAGCTGTCCCGGATTTTTCAGATTTGTAAACTTTAGCCAATTCTTTTTTATAGACCGTACGTAAAGCATTAATTTTTTTAACAACAGTGTTTCTATCCGCCGATGTATCAAACTCCTGGTATTTTTTCACCAACTCAATATAACCTAAATCTTTTTTATTCCTGTCAGAATATTCTTTGTTCTTGACGCGCCACAAACACGTAAAACTTTGATAAAGTTCAATGAACTCTGTCAAAAACTCTCGAGGAGTTTGTTTCGGTGCATCTGCCATAGGTACGTCTGCCAATTCGTACCAAAAAGAAAAACTAAATTGATTCCGTACGGCCAAAACGCAAACTGAGTTAAATTGTAGCGACAAATCGCTTCCACCTGATTACAAGTTCAGACATGTCGGTACGATTCGACGAAATTGATCAGGGCTCGGATCAACCATCCAACCCAACTCCAACTCCGATAAACCGTTACGATGTCCCGATTACACACAACGATCAATTGAAACAACTCGATCGTTATGATAGATTACTCGCATTTATCGTAGCGTGTAATGCCGCCTTTACACTTTAAAATGTGCAAATGACCACATGAGGCACACATCCACGGTTCTGAAGGCATAGGTCATATATATATATACTTTGAAGTTGAGTCATTAATTTTCAGATAATGATTGTAGAAGGAAGATAAACCAAAATATGTGTGTAAAAATTAAAAAAAAATGTTACCTTGTTTTATAAAGTATCCTCCCGACAAGTATTTAAGTGCGGACCTGTATTTGATCGTGAGGTCTTGGAGCACCGGCATGCCGTCCATATGTGAGGTCTTAAGTCAAATGATTCACGAACCCGTTGTACTACATTAACAAAGGCACGAGGGGTTGGTTGCACTCGATTGTCAAACCGATCCGCATAAACATGTGCCATTTTTTATTTCGTTTGAGCCACGCAACAGACACCACTATTCACTACCGACTGACACTGACTGTATACAACTGAATGAAATAATTGTAAAAACATCGTTCCAAATTCTTTCGCTTTTTTGTTTCCGATGCGATGAACCGATAAGGCGGATTATATCCGTTGTCACCAAACACGAGCACATAATATTATTGAGACAGGGCGGTACTCAAACTTCCAAAGGGCTATAACTTTATTACTTTAATTTTACCAGAAAAATGGTAAAGGAAAAAACATTTCTTTTGATCAGATCTACTCACTGTTAAAATAAATGACTCAACTTCGAAGTTTCACGTTTCAAAAATATTGCTGCAATATTTTTTAAGGATTTTGAAACATTACGATTATTACAACATAAGATTTCTGAAATATTTCTGAAAAATATTCTTCTGTATGGGTAGGCACCGTGATGCTTTTTTCTCTTACTAACATACGTATTTCACGCTTCTTCAACATTACGACATGAGTAGTATATGGATTTTCCTGTATATTTGTTTAGATATCAAGGACCCTGAGATCCCAATAACAAAAATTCATATGTCGGAATCATAGAACAAACATGATAAAGCAATCTTAGTCTAGAATTGCAGATAAACGTTTATTTGCCGGTATGTATATACAGGGTGTCCCATCCATGTGTGGACGGAATATTACTCATAAACAAATACATTTTGGAAAGATCTATTTATGGCATATGTTATACATGACATTTGAGGGCACATTTCTAAAATATTGGCAATAATACAGTGTGTCCCAATTTTGAAGTACATATCTAAGTTGTGATTTTTTAAATGGAATGCCTCAAATTTTATTGCATATTTGGATAAACCAATCCAAAAGAAGAAAATTGATATAACATACTATGGGGTTTTGGTAATTAGCTACTGAGATGTTTTGTCCAGAAAAACCGTCCCCTTCGGCAACCCCTCAATCCGCCATTTTGAAATTTGGAGTGCTGAATTTTGTATCAAAAAAGAAACTTACACACTTCAGCTTTTATTTTATTTGCTACTTTTTCAAATTTTCACTTTTGCTCATACAGGGTGGTCAAAAACGCGAATTGTACTTTTTCTCAAAAATTTCAGATGCATCACCCTGTATATTTGTGCAAGTTAGGATTCAATTTTTATAAGTTTTTTATACTTAACACATAAGGGTTTTTACGGCTCCAACTGATTCGCCTCATTGGTGGGAAACTATTTTTTTGGGCTTCGCCCAAAACGAACACCATATTCACCATTTCTTCTTTAGAAAAATTCATTTTCAAACACGTTTTTATTATAATGCTCTCAAAGCTAATTTTGCCAGTTTGCAACTAATCAACAATCTACGTGTTTCCAAGGATGATGCGATATTTTAGGGAATTAAGCCGTTCCATAAAAGACCTGCTAATAACCGAAAAAATAGCCGTAAAAACCGTTATGTGTTAAGTATAAAAAAAACTTATAAAAAATTGAATCCAAACTTGCACAAATATACAGGGTGATGCATTTGAAATTTCTGAGAAAAACTACAATTTGCGTTTTTGACCACCCTGTATGAGAAAAAATTAGAATTCGAAAAAATAACAAATAAGATAAAAGCCGATATGTGTATGTTTTTTTGATACAAAATTCAGCACTCCAAATTTCAAAATATCGGACCGAGGGGTTGAGCATCCCATTTGAAAAATCACAACTTTGATATGTAGGTCGAAATTGGGACACCCTGTATAATATTTTAGAAATGTGCCCTCAAATGTCATGTATAACATACCATAAATAGATTTTTCCAAAATGTATTTGTTTATGAGTAATATTCCGTCCACACATGGATGGGCCACCCTGTATATTACGTTAATAGGTTGAAAGGTAAAATACACTTTTTTCATAACAAGTGAAAAACAAAACGGCAGTTTTATGCTGACCAAGTATTTTAAAACTTTATTTGCTCCTGGAATACAAAAGAAGTAATGTACCTAGTTAAGTACATTTTTACATCGCTATCTAGACAATTATTCATGAATGCACCTTTTTGATTCATTAAAACAACCTTTCAAGTGACTGATAAAGTGATGTTTTCGAAAATGTCTCCGTTGTTACATCCAAATTATATCTGTTCAACAACTTGTAATTCATCCTCACAACAGCGAGTCGCTCCTTGAACTCTCTGTAATCACAATCAAAAGCACAACCTTTGAACGTTATAGGATACAAATCCGGATGGTCTAATATTCTGTAATATCCATTTATAAAATGTTTTCCGTCTTTTTCTCTCATTTCGAAAATGATACTGTTGGCGAAAGCAGGCACATCGTACTCGAATTGGTCAAAGACGTCAAAAGTGTTCAACAGGCACATCAGATTGATGTCATGGCCACTGAAGAGGAGAATTCTTTCTTCAGTTGACTGGTTGGAGATTTTGTCGAAGTGATCAACCAGTACGTTCAAAAACGGTCCAACAGCTGCAAGAATGAAATAACCAATCAGAAATTCATGTTCATCATCAAACTAAACTTATTTATTTCAGATTAGATGTAAAGTTTCCATTTACACCTTCCGTGGCAACGATTCAAAGAAGATATAGACCTAGATAATTTCGAGCGATGAAGACCAACAGGACTGCTAAAAAATCATTAAGTGTGTTACAGTATATTTTTATGGTCGACTAAAAATTAACTATATCTTGATAAAGTAAATTATTACAAGGTTTTTTTTATTAAAATGATAATTTTATAACAGTTCTTAAAGTATCGAATTTTAATTTTATAACCAAAAACTTGGTGTAATAATTCTATGATAGAAAATCGTACTCCATATCGTTAAAGGTCATTTTTTATAATTTCTGTCAACCGTAAATAGGAAAGCTGCTTTTTTCGGTGCATAGGTTCAGCGACCACAAACTGTGAAGTGAGCAATTTCACACCCAGTGCTGGATTTTTCGGGTTGTGGAGACTTTGTTAGAAATAGCCCTCCTTTGGTGAATTTTGTTGTCGAAGCCGTTTTCTCACCCTCTTGGGGATTTAGCCGTTGTCATAGCTACGCTAAACCATCGAACTGATAAGTGACCATTTTCTCCAAGCCACGTGTTCATTTTCTCAACATGATGTCTAATTCTATAGGGAGGCATTGATACTCCGAGGCGATCTTTATGTAGGACTGTATATTTACTGAAATTTGAGTGAGCTATGCTCACGAGGTAAAATATTCCTGTTGTTCTCAAGTAACATTTTAATTGCCTTACTTATAAGATGAAATACTTTACCTCCGGTCCTCATGCTTTTTTACAGGTACATGATTATTTTAATTGAGATCAGGTTAATGTAAAAATTTTGGGTATTGCTAGTGCAATCACGATTCCCCTTGCCCCTTGCACGCCGTGATTAATCAGCAGCTTTGTTTTAATTTTAAATTTGGTGTTACCCCTAAATGGGTCTTCCTACCCTTGGTTACCTTTGCTTTGGAGCTTCCATTTGGGTAGAATTCCATAGCAGCTATCACTTCTCTTGTGTGGGAATCAATCCCACCATTCTGTAATATCCAAGCACCTACCCAGGTGATTTTTTTTTTAATTTTAGTTGTTACTGTAAACCATTTAACTGGGGGGTAGTACCAACTAATTTCCTTTTGCTTGTCTCCCAGGACTACTTTTAATTTTCTTTGTTCGTTCAATAAATATGTGTATGCCTTGTGAATTTGTGTTTTCCTTAGCCCCAGAGACCCAACATTTGACAGTCAGGTCAAGTTTTAATAGGCCGAAAGTCACTACTTGTTATTTCTTTTTCCTAGTTGTTGAAACTAGGTGGCGCCCAAACCTTAACCATTTGTTTCAAAGATCAAAGTACAAAGAACCATGTCTCTGAGGTCACTTTATCTACCAACTGAGCGCAGGGTTAGTTAGTTTTTCCCCAAATTATAACTAGAAATAAAGACAGACAGTTTAAGCGGGATAACAAGTGTCATATAAGCGAATTTGAGAAAACGGAAACGTTTCGTGGTACACGGAATCCTGACCTGAGAGAATAACTTACATGCTTTTTGCATCTTGCGGTTGTACCCCATAGTCTTGCCGAAAGCCCTCGCCAGCTCAGTAACGTTCTCTGGAAAAACTGACTTCGTCCACTCAGGCAAAGTCAGATTATTTCTTTTTTCTGTGGTCAAAACGTCGTACACCACATAAGAATGGGCGAGCCTCTCAGGAATCGGAACATCGAGCTTGCCGTATTCAAGCAGGTACTTGAACAATTTTTTATGTTCTTTCATGAAACTCCTGAATTTCGCACTGGTCACTGTCAATTTCAGGTATTGTAGGATAAAAGTTGGGCTTATAAACGCCTTGAGGATCGAGGAATCTATGTTTATGTCATACTGGGACTCGGTAATGCTCGGATAAAGGCCTTGCAGGTATTTTTGCATAGACTCTATGTTTCTTTTATTAGTATCGCTGTTTAACTTGAAAAATCCTGCAGAGTAGTTCTCCGGTATAAAGTCATGGTACCTTCGACGCATTAATCTGCCTAGTTCCACTAACTGTTGTTTACCTTCCTGAAAAAGAGAAAAGGAAACTCCTGAACTGAATATTGAACAAGGTCCAAGATTACAAGATTTGTTTTTTCCACATTTTGAGTATTTGTATCTCAAAGCTAGATAGTTTGATATAATTGATATCAATCAAAAATACGATACTAATTTGATAAAAAAATATCAGTACTACTTGAACATTCAACACACAATTTATTGTTATCCAACGTTACTAGTTTGCTTACCCTTGCCATCAATTAGTATTTGCTTTATTTTCGCTCATAGTAAAGGCTAACGCACATTAGGCAACAAGTGGCCGCTACAAGTTGGAGAATACATTTCGTTTCATATCGGCAGGGGTATTACGTAGCATGAAAAGTGACATTATGTCGATGTCGTTTTTTGACATTATGTAGGTTTTTTATGACATGATGTAGGTTTTCCTATAAGTTGTCAACAAAGAACTAGCTGTCGTTCACTTCATGCTGACTCGTAGCAGACTCGGACTATTTACACACTGCCAGCTATCTAGTCAACAAGTTGCCCAATATGGCGGGTGGTTGTGTATAATCATGGCATCGTCCATGTTGTCTTTAGTTTATTAGAATATTTTGGTGTTGCCTGCAGGTGTTATACAACAATTTGACAAATGTCAGAAATGAAATACCGACAGAGTCGAATGATCTACCTAGAATTTGTACCAGATCTATATCTTCTGTTTGAACAGTTGATAAAACCTTTTTAACCAATATGTATGCGTTGTTTGTCTTAAAACATTGGTTATGGCATTTTAACAAAAATATGACAGCAGAAAGTTAGGTTATGGTGAAGTTGTATACCGACATATTTAGCATATGTACAGCCTTTAACAGTTACTAAACAACAGTTGTATAAGTGCTTCCGTTGGGAGCAATTTGTTATCTAAAGTAGTAAATTTTCACAACATAACAACAAGGCTCGGGTTTGTGTTACAAACTTACCATGGATGCCACAACACAACTATTTTGACTAACCTGCAAATATGCCATATAAAATAGTTGTATAAACGTTTATGCAACAGTTAAAAATTTGTCCTATAAGGTGTTGTGTAACTATGCTATAAGAATATTTTAAACATCTCATTTTACAGCAGATATGTTGCAGAAAGCAAATTTGCATTCCACACAACATTAAGCCAGCATTTTGGTGTTCAGGCAACAACAATAGAGAGCTTTTATGGCTGAACGATTCTTTTACCAAAAGCTTATAGCACTACTTTGCTAGTTGGGTTGTGACGTATCACAGAAAACGTACTCCAGTCCGCCGCGATCCTGATACTACTATAATTTAGCAGGCGGAGAGGTAGACGCATTTCATGTACTGTGGGCTGTCAATTGTGACACTCTCTGCAAAAACCGACCTCATCCATCTGGGAGCAGAGGCACCATGATAAAGTCACCGTACAGTGACAAATAAATACTTTGACTGCACAGATATTTGGGCGTAAAATACGGTAAAACTAAAAGTGGTGGCCTCATGAGTGACCCCGAGACTTTCAAAAACTGAGAAATCCCAATTTCAATATTATTCAACCTAATCTGGATGTTGTCTGTTTCAATTAGTTTGAACTCTCTGACCTGAGGTTAGAGCTAGATGTGATGCTGATTTCCTCATCTAAATACTTAAAGAGCTTACCAGCAACCCCTTTGGTTGTTTGAGAACAACCCCAGGATCTATATTTCAGTTGAGATGGCCTCAGCCTGTAAATTCCCTTCAAAAAACATTTTATGTCTGCATGGTTAGTAACATTTTGGGTAAAAGACAAACAATTATATCTTGATCTCGTATCACACTGCAAGGTAAGAAATTTCAAGGTAGAAAATGTATTTCTTCACGACAAAGGTCCTACTATAGTCTAAGCCCACAATACTTGATAAATTATCGATGCTGATTGGAACGACAGCTTTCCAGTTACGACGATAATCAGGGTAAGCTTCAGAATTAGTGGGACCGGCGTCCTAGGTCCTCCATCAGATCCTTGCTTTACTTCTAGAAGTGAAATTTCAGAAACACCGAATACTTCAACCAAAATCAAGACGGTGACAGGTGTAGCTCCCACGCCGTTTCAACGTCCCACTGACGCAAAAGCTCATCTGTACCAGTATTACTCCTAGATTTTATATTTGACGCGAGGGCAGTAAGATTTCTCTCTTTACACAATTGCCATAGTTTTCCCGCAACCTGGTCCAGACGTGGAAACTAGAAGCTCTCCATTTTAATGATGTAGGATGGGGTATAATATGCGATAGCCCATCAATTCGGTAGTAAAGCATTCACCACAGAAAAAACTACCAGTGGTTCTTGATGATTAGCATGCGGGATCTTCTTCTCGGGTGGCCAAAAACTATGATACTTTTCCCTGGCCAACGAATCTGCCAGTCCGAGAAATTATACAACCAAAAATTGGATAATTCAATACCTCTGATCGCATCTGGCAGTTTCTTTGAGCCCCAGCCGAGGTAGACCTTAAGTTATATTATCTTAGTGGCATAGTAGCGTTAAAATTCCCTTGAGAATTTCACAAGGCAAGAAATTTCACTCGTTAGTGTATAGTCGGCTGAAATGAAAGACAAACTGACACCAAGATCTCGATGTTTACCGCAAAGTTTCGGACTCTGTCATGGTTGCTGTTCATTATTGCCCTTACTAGGTTTAGTAATATCTGCATCGTCCGCTCAAGTAAAGTTACTTTCTTTCTGTCACAATTTATTACTGGGATTGAAAGTGTTCAATTTTTTCTAAAGGTATTCCAGAAATGGCTTTATTAACTTTGTGAACACATGAGGGGCACAATTTACCCTAAATGGTATCGCATTGTATTGGAAGAGCTGTCCCTTGAATATGAATCTGCAATACCTATATTCTATGACTCTCCCTGACGGATAGCAAAATCTGCATATTCCAAATCCAGATTCGCTAAGAAAGTATCTCTACGGAGAAGTCTGATACCAGTTCAATAGCCCAGACTTAAGTATTCAAACGTGTTCACCCAATAGACTTGGAGGCTAGAAACAGTTCGATAGGTCCTGATTTTTAGTTAGCTCAACTTTTTTACTAATAGCACCGCAGCTAAGCAATTGAGAGAAAGTCGGTAGTTCATAGATGGACTAATGAGATTCAGCTATGGCAAAGTGCTGAACCAGTCGCCTTGTGAACGACAAGTGACCACTTGAGTCCAATCAGGACTTTAGCGCCACTCCTACAGCTCTACCATTGATGATGAATACACGTCAATGTCCCTGCTGATCTACATACCTCATCTACATCAATAACGGGTGATCTGATGTTGTCTGACCTTTTGGTCTTCAGTTGCTGCTCATGTTTATCTGATTTCTATTTAGAATTGACTTACTTGGTTAGACCTACACCGAAGAACAAGATATCAATGGCAGCCTCTGTCAGAGTATTCCTGAGTTGTTTGCTTTAATGTGAATATCTGCCAGCATGCGATCCTCTCCCTTCTTTGAACCTAGAGGATAGAGCATTGCTACTTGCAGTTAATAAACAGCTCATATGATGCTGTACACAGAACAAGCACGTATCCCTGCATGCGATTAGTTCTATTATGGCTTCCGCTATCTTACCTGGTTCACCTTAGGTGGCTAGAATAGAACAGAATTTATTCATCTATCGTTATCACAAGACCTGCCCTCGGAATGTCAGCCTTGGAACAACGCGCGAACATTAATTGAGGTCGCCGTATCATCGTGATGATGCGTCAACTATAGAATCAGACTACATGGCCTTTAAGACAACACAATCCAGAGCGCCCTGCTGTTCGAGTGCCACCTATGCAAAATGTAACGTTAATCGGGCATAATGATATTTTACCTCCGTAATTACTGAATATTCGAACTTTTGTGGTTCCCTAACCGGTCATGTTCATACGTACAGTCCTGTTCCATAGTTATAATATTCATTTAACTAGCACCTAAATCAGATCGGTTAGACGACAGTTACCTGATGATGACGCCCCTTCAGAAAAATAGGCCTGCATGCCACTATCTAATTTTGCTTCTCGACGAAAGAACCTTGAGGCGACCGTCGGTCGGTATCTCGTTCGACAATGCACATCTATCGGCCAACCTTCTGTCCTGTTATCTAGTTCTAAATGTTCAGCGGTTCCTCGACACTGCTGAAAACGTAGAAAAGATGCGCGCCGATTGACGTCTCAACGGTTTGGCACGAGAACAAGGAATGGGAATGGGAATGAATGTTTATAGGCAGCCAGAGGAGAGGAAGGTATGGGGAACGGGCGCGGTGCCGCTTTCTTTCGCTGAGTGCGTGCTTTGAAATCGTGGGGTTTCGTACCAATAACGAGGGTACTACGATATGTATTCTAAATATTTACCGACGAGGACGGAACATAATCATTTTATATAGCCGAACTTTGTTTATCAAACTCAATTTGGAGGATCTTCATAACAGAGGATATAGTTGCCGAAACGCAATTTGAAATTTTGTTTTCAAGGCTGCTGATTGTTTCTGGCAGGTCATGCCTTTGTCAAGGCAGAATTTGTCCATGGTACACGATTTCCTCTACCTCTGCTAGGAGGCCGCGACGTTTTTTGCTTAATTTCAATTAGCCACTGTTCCGCCCTCTCTGGTACTTCGTCTACCACACTCTGCAACCCATCGTGAATCAGATCACCAGTACACGACTGGGCGACAAGTGCAGTGTCGTCAGCATAGAGGTAGACTTCACAGATTCTGGAGCGCCCGGCACAGGTATTACGTATCATGAAAAGTGGCATTACTTCGTTTTTTTTGACATTTTGTAGGTTTTTTGTGACATAACGTAGCTTTTTCAACAAGATGTTAACTTACCACAAGCTGTTTCTTGACTCGGAATAAAATGAATATATAATTTAGTTATAGTAGATCTAATACCAATTTTAACAGCGAAAAAGCCTGGAGCCACAAAAAGATTGAAAAATCTCATTCATAGATAAGTGGCACAGCCAAGCGTGAGAACTGATGAACAGTGGATCAACTGTATCGCAACGTTAACTGTTAAGCAGTGAAAACGGGTATTCCGACAGCTTACTCACGCCTGAACAGACGATGCTACTGCTGATGTATCATTTTTAATCTCATTCGCAGCTCCGGGTTTCTTCTTGTTGTTTGTTTGGTACTTGACCATGTATGTTTAAAATCCCTCCGGTGACCTCTGACTGACGGGACCACCTATTCTCACACAGTTTGCTAAAATTGGACAGTTTTGCGTCTACAACATATTTTGGGGACACCGGGACGGAGCGGTGTAATTCAAAGCGATATGCAAAGTCACGTTACTCAGACCTATTGTTCCAAATTGAAGGAATTACTTACCTTGGTGAGTTGTCCTCTTCCCAAACCACCCCAATAGGACACATTTTTGTATGGATCGTCTTTAAAGAACATAACGGGTGTTCTAGCTCCATGTCTGAAAAGCTGGAAAACGGGTTCAACCAAAGTGCTATGGTCAACTTGAACAGTAAAGTCGCAATTTTATAACAACATTTGCATAATCCCCCATGCTTGGCCGGCCGAATAAAAACCACATAATATGTTTAACATTCCTGCATTGAATGACATTTCAGATCCAACGGTGGCCTTCTCGGGGATTATCAACATGGAAACCACATGATAAGTTTCAAATGTTTCATCAAAATTTCCATGACCTCCCTCATGCTATGAGCTAACAAAATTCAATATATTGAGGTCGGATTCGGATTCTTCGTATTTGATTCTCCCAAAAAGCGGATATTTTAAAATTGTTTATCATTGCAATACAAGGCTTTGCTATTAGAAAATTTTACTTATCCCCAAAAGCGACGTGGAAACGAATTCGGGGTTGATGCCAAAAATAGGTGTTGCTTTAATGGGAAATTGAGTCTTAGAGGTATTGTTCCACTAGAGATTTTGAATATTGGTCTGATCCCTACAAGAATCTGTTAAACTACGTCCAAAATTGACTGACAGATGCAACACATCCAAAGGATATTATTTTATGACTGCGCCGCCAGGTTTTCGATTTTTGAAAAAAGAACTGCATTGTAATTGTTATTCATATCTCTCTGGATCCCCATCTAAATTGATAGTGGTTACTTAGGCTATGTGATTGTAAAAGACTGACCGGCAAACATACCGACGAACACGAGCCACATCTACTTCCTATCTATGCTAATGCATGGTTGATAAAAAAACTCTTACCTGTACAAAAGACAGTAGTTTAGAATCGTCATCCTTAGTTTTCACAGAAGTACTGCATACAATCAGTAGAAGAAATATATGTATGAACTGGCACATGTTGCTTGCTCGTAATGAATGTTAGTATACACTAACTTAGACCTTACACTTGATGAGATTGGCTGATAAGATGCAAAGTGCGTATGGTGTTATGGTAATAGAACCACATATCTTTTGGTCTCTCCCACAAATTTGGCTGGCGTTATCTTGATTAAGTTAAAATGAACAATTGTTTGTTCAATTTTGAGGATGTCAATGATGAAACTGCGTAGAAACAATAGTAAATTACGTGATTCACTACTTAGATGTACGAGTCAGTAGCTTATTTCGGTAAAAGGAATTATTGACGGCTCATTAATTGGAAATGTATGATGTCATCAAAATATCATTTTCATGAACAATCAAATAATTATGTTCTCAAAATCGGTTCTATGACCATTCAAGATTTTGGGACGGTCTTATTCAAGTTTGCTGGGTGTAAGTAACAATGGGATACGTAAACTCTGAATCCAAAATCAGGAAAAAACGTTTCACTTATTTCCGTCAGTCTATATGTTCCAACCCAGTAATTCATCGTGCCTATTAGACGAACATATTTCACACAACCTGCATAACACCTTAAAACTTATAGATCGATGAAGGAATATTTTCGCCAAGCATCTCTGCCGTCTGGGTTGATCGGTGTCACATTTTTACCAATACGTGTCGTGCCATAACTTCCGTGCTGCCGAGCACCTTTCGAGTCTGATGAGTTGATACGTCAGCGGTCAAAGCGGTGAGGGGCGACAATTCGAGATGGACAGTACGATCTGTAGGACAGGAAAAACATGTATATGGGCTTATTCTATAGACTGACTTGATCCGTTTAATTTCTCTATTATACATATTCGTAGCTAACTTTGTTCTCTCAGAGGTACTAGAACTAGTGCCACACATAATCCTTTATGAACTGATGGCGTGGGTAGTGTAGAATCAATGATAATGGATGCCATCTTTTCACATGGACTGTGCGTCTGTTGGAATGCTTTGCGGTAGAAGATCAAATAGTGAGATGTATTGAACAACTGATGCCTCTCTGAAAGACTAGGTTCACAATCACATCTGGTGAAATTGAAGTCCAAACAGAGTTGGTATCATTCAGAAGAGGGGTCTTCCATGAGGACTATTCAACTCCCCTGCTCTGCTGCATCTCACTTCTGCTGCTATCTGTTGCACTGTGAATTGTGGGAGGATTCACCTGCGGCACGCCTAGCAACCGGAGGCACAAGGTCACCCACCTGTTTTATATGGATATTCAAGAACTTTACGCCTCCGGACAACGCAGTGTATAGCAGTCGCTCAGGCACAAAACACAAGACTCAGGGTAGTAGAGGAGTATAGTCGTGCAATCGGCATGGAAGCCGAGAAAGACAAATGCGCTATGGTTCATCTCAAAAAGGGACGACACGGTGATAGTGAAGAAGAGAAGCAGCTCGTGGATAGATTTTGCATCATTTTCATGACAGAGTAGCGCAGCTTTATATGCAGGAGATTAGCATGGTCAAGTGCCTGCGTCGACTCAGGCAGATCTGGTCATCAGAGCTATCTGATAGAACAAAGTCGTTGCGACAAATATGCTTGTTATTGTACACCTTCGGAGCCATCCACTGGAGAGTGAACGAGCTGCAACAACACGACTCTAAAACCCGTAAAAGGTTGGACATACATAGAAGTTTGCATCCTAAGTCCTCAGTTGAACGTATATACCTTCCAAGATATCAGGGAGGACGTGAACTATTCAGTTTGGGGCCTCTGCATGACAGACTGGCACTGAGCACTGTCTGTAATATAAGGAGTACCGATAAAAGCTTTTCTTTTTAGAGCAGAGAAAGGAGCAGCTGAGGAGCTCGGTCTGATACTTGACTTTAAGCGAGAATGCCATCAGTCCATTACAAAGCTGGCTCCTGCTCAACTGAACCAGGTCGCCCTGTTGATAGGCACCCTCTCAGGCAAGACGTCAGGTCACTCGCAATTTTTATTTGATTGCGTCTGTCCAGGATGGAACAACATCTTCGCCTAGGTGTACCCCATTGACTCGTTGACTGCAGTCGGAGACGCCATCAGGAACATGGGAAGATACCTGTCCCAATCACGCTGGTGGCGGAACACCATATTTGATGGGTACTCTCCAATTGTCCGGTACATCCTTTCTACCATTCCGTCCGATTTAGGGTATAACGCCGTGGTTCTGGTTTTCCTCATGCCCAGATTCTCGCAGACTCGTTTAAAGAGCTTGCTTTCGAAATTTCTCCCTGGTCAGAGTGCAGCTCTAGCGGCTGATAAGGCTGTCGGCCAGAACGTCTGCAACCAGAGCAGCTTCTTGTTTGGGAATAGCGTATGCTTCAACCCACTTACTGAAGTAGTTCATGGTATCCAGGATGTACTTGTTCTCACTCTCCGATTCTGGAAATGGTCCCGAGATGATGATGGATATCCCCTCGAATAGGCTTGAACACGATGTGCATTTCCAAAACCACTGCTTCACGTCTTCGTTTTCCACAGCTCGTCTCAGGACGTCATCTTCTAGTACCAAAGAGTTCCACTGGGCCCAGTATGACTTGACCGCTTGTGATGGTGGGGCGACTTCCTCCTAGGTTGGTTGACAGTCCTCTTTCTTCCACCGCTTCAGTCGTTTGATGTCAGATTCGCACTCATGGTCTTCACGAATATTGTCAGACAACAAAGAATCATCCACTACGGTCGCCTTGCAGATGGTCGCTGTCCTCTCCTCGAGCCTACTGCAGTGAGGCCACTCTGGTGGACACGGCCTCCTCGAAAAGGCCTCAGTGTTACGATTACTCAATCCAGCTTGATACTTAGTCTCGACATCATACCCCGAGAGCCGCTCGATCCATGTCGCCAATTGTCCTTCAGGTTTCTTGAACAGGAGCAGCCACTTCAGTGCCACATGGTCCGTTCTAATCAAGAACTTTCGCCCGTATATGAACTTATAATAGTGCTCCACTGCTTTGATGACAGCCAACAGCTCTCGTCTAGTGACGCAGTAGTTTCGTTCAGGCTCCTATGGGGTCTTGCTGAAATACCTGATGACACGTTTCTGGCCTTCTTGGGCTTGTGACAGCACTGCACCATACCGACGTTACTTGCGTCTGTATTATCTAGGATAAGCTTCCTTACCCGATTTGGATATCCTAAGGTCGATATGCTAATCAAATGTTGAGTTCGTGGCCCAGGGGGTTCATCTTCTCCCGGAACAGACTGAACTTCCTCGGATTTAACTTCCAATTTGCACCTCGGGGACTCGGGAACACCTATTACAAATTCTTCAGGTGCTCGTGTTACATCTTGCCTACCACGACGATGTCGTCCAGGTCAGCCCCGACAGCACCAACTGCATCATTACGGTGAACTGACAAAGTTTATGTCCGCTTGTAGGCAGCCTTCTCTCGGTTGGCAGGGTATGTCTACAGCCTTTTACCGCGTCGAGAAAAATCCAGATAGCGCAGCCTACGTGTCATCGTTGCGTGGCAACTTCCCATCCTTCTTCTTTACTGGTACCACAGGTGACTCCTACGGGCTACTGCGTAGCTCTATCACTCCTTTTCGCTTCATCTCCTCGACTACCTTAACAGCTTCCTCTCGTTTCGCCTCTAGAGGCCTGTGTCGGTCTTGTGCTTCGAGCCTTCGTCCATCTTGTTTTGGAGCACTGAACAGCCCTTTCACCTTTGCAGATTGACTCAGGGAAACACCTTCACAGACTGCTTCAATCATCTTCTGAAGGCAGCTGCTACCTTTATTCTTCTGCCCGCCTTCAGACTGGGCTTGATGAATGATCAGTGTCACTGATGAACAGGTACCAATGACAGCTCGTTTCTTTAGCGTAACAGGATTGGAGGTAATATTCAACAACCGGATTGGAATGACGTAATCAGCTGTCACCAAAACACTCGCCACCAGCACACCTGGCTCGTGTAGTCCACTCTCTCTCTGCTAGGACGGTCTCTCCCTTGCCGACGACTGTCTTGATTTACGCCTTCACGATGACCTCGCTCGCAGGTGTTTTAAGCCATGATCATATGGCCATACATGTCCTTACGACTATGCAGGATGACTTCTTGAAGATGCGGTGCCCCACGTCCAACTGGTATCCATGTCTGCCCATCGCATCCATTCCCAGTATCACATCCTCTTCAATGGACTGCTGCGACAGCCGAAGGCCAGCATCGGAGAACAGCAGTCAATCATATGAAAATTGTGAATGATCGGATGAAGGACCGTTGCGACGTCCGTGCCGAAGAGAGTGGCTATCAGCAGGGAGACCTGGTTTGGCTGTGGAACCCCAATGGAAAAAAGGCCTTTCACCAAAGCTGCAACGCTCCTGAGAGGGCCCTTACGAGGTTCCGAAAAGGATCAAGGACGTCGTCTATCGAATCCGGGGGGCGAAGACGCAAACGCTCACCGCATCCAAGAAGAAGGCACTGAGTCTTCGTTGGAACAGTTCCTCGGAGCTTAACGGAAATGGGTAAGTCTGGTTTTGACGTAAGCAGGGAAGTGCAGGAGGACTTGTTTTTGTTACCTTGGTAATACTCGCTGGCAAGGAACTAAACACCTCAAACAGCGTAGCTTCCCTGTTCCAGAAGAAGTGCCGTTGCCACTGAAGGTTCGAAGAACAACAGCCGCAGGTTGGGAAGATACCGAATGGTGGTCGTTTCGTCTACGTGCTGATTATCAGGGCAGCCCATCATCAGCCGCCAGCCTATCGAACAATGTGGGAAGTCCTAAAAGATCTACGGTAACACTTGATGGCCTGGAACATCTGTAAACTGGCGATGCAGAAGCTAGAATGTGAGCATGTGGAGTGGAGGACCGTTCGGAATATGCTGGAGGTGCTGTTCCAGGGCATGGAAACCCTGGTTTGCTGCTACGCCTTCCTGCGGAGAGGAATCAAGGGGAAGACGGTGCCATGCCACTTGTATTCAGCCGATTTAGCTATGATCGAGGGAATCCGTGTATGCTAGTGATGGGCTTGAGGAGGGGGCGGTGTAACGCCTCCGTATAGTTTTGATCTTGAGTGGCGATGGCACGGCTTGGCAGAGTCGACGCATTTTGGGCCGTTCGTGTCGCAATTGCGAGTATTCGATACCCGTCTCGAAGCACCTGCTGCAATTTAGACCACAGCCATGGAAGTTCCCGAAAACGATGGAACATTTCTCGACGCGTCGATAGTTAAACAAATACTAGACAAAACGGATGAATTATAGTCCAGTCGACACAGTGATAAATTTGTTATAAATTAGTCGCTGTCACGTGCTAAAATCACGTAATCTTTTTTTTACTATTTTGATCACATATCTGTAATTTGAATTTCTCTTTATTGATTATAGAGTGCCCATTCCTAGACCAAACCCTTTTTAATGATTTTATTTTGGTAAATTTCATAGCTTATTGATTGTGAATTTCACACGTATTAAATCTGTCATTCTCAGCGACTCAGTATTGTGTTAAAATTTTTGGACTCTAATGTTATAGTATTATTAATGACTATCTGAGATGACAGATTTGGTTCTGCCTACAGTCTGCCCATTGGTAACCAGCGCGGCACCATGTGACTTTACACGTATTAGCCGTATAGGGATATTTCGTTCTATCAACATACCTTCTTCAAGACCATTTATTTAACCTTATTCTAGTGTTTACTTTCCTATCAAGATACCTTCTGTTAAAATTTGATTTACTATCAAGTTACTTTCTTTTGAAATGTGATTTATTATAAGATACCTTCTTTTAATTACGTACGGCTGCGTCCAGCGCCATTTTACTTTTGTTTTTACGGTGTGATTTTGGTTGTGTGCGGGCGTTTTTTCGTTAACTTCCAGATTTTGGGATATCAACGCTCCAAACACCAGTTTATGGGGTAGTACCTTTTTATTTTGTACCTTACGTTTAGTTGTTTTAGTTTGGGTCTACCCCGTCCATCTTCGAATGGGATTTTAACCTCCAGCGGTAAGTTCTCCTTTGTATACAATCGGACTATGTCCATTAATGCTTGTCCTGAAGAAGTTTGTTTAATATCTCATTCCTTTTAGTGGGAAGCCATTGTGGAGAACCACCATTCACACTTCTCCAGCTTTGTTTTGTAGCTGCCTTGTAGCTGTTTCGCAGCCGATTTTGTTGGAAGCCATCCCTTCACCTTGATAAAAAACTCTGATGTGAACAGGTAACATATTTTAATTGGGTATTTTATAGATATTGATATATTGATTGTTACTGACTGAAATTATTAGTGTTCTTGATTTTCTTTGGCAGCGGTGGCCGCAGTAGTAGACTCTTCGGTCTCCTGATCAGTCGCCGTGCGCTGTGCGGGTTCGAGTCCCGTCCCAGGAGAAATTTTTATCTTGGCTATGGATGTTGTGATTGTCCGTAGGTGGTAGATGGTCTTTGACTGTCGAACGCGGAGGTACCACCCGGCGGTTCTCGTAGGCGGAGCCAGAATGTGTGCATGTTGCATGCACACGTGTTCCCTTGCCATGTATCCCCCTATAGCCCCACGGTACCCAATGGGTGCTTAGGCCTTAGGCCTTCGTGGTAGTTGGAGTATAAAAAAAAATTCATATTCAAATATAGGGTAGTGCCTGTCTTCTGGGCTTATTACATTACATTGATCATGATTTTGAATTTTGAGCTGCCATAACTTATTTTAGAACAAGGGATATATTTCTGAGGCTGTATCACTTTCGTAAATGTTTATCTTTTCTTGCCCTTGCAGAAAGAAAAGTAGTTTTCTTGTAAAAGATAGTAATAACAATAATATCGTCTTTATTTACAAAGATACAGAGTGCGATTCATTATGGCGAAGTTTAGCTAAAGCTACTCTTACACTTAACCATATGAATACGAAAAAAAAAGATGGTATAGGACAAACAAAAAAAACGTTTGGCTATTACAATGTCATAATAGTATTGAAAGCAGTTCAATCAAACAAGCAACTAATTTAAATGCCTACAAGCATATGTGCCCATAAACTAACTTATTATATATATTATTATTATTAACAAAAATTAGAAAAAGAAGAAGCATTATAATGTAGAACTCTGTAAATATAGCCTAACATGCTTACGGAAACAAGACAGATTCATGGTTCTGTAATCATCAGGAATATTATTGTAGCGACTAGCAGCATTATAGGAAAATGAGCGTTGGAAAAGCTAGGTGACGTAATGGGGTATTCTAATATTTAATGTATATCTAAGAGTTTTGTTATGTATTTCATTAGAAAAAATAAGTTTTTCTCTTGGGTATTTGGGTTTACCAGATGCGAGCAGCTTATGCAGGAAGACCAAATAATGAAAATTTGTCAAACACTCTAGCTTCATCCATCCAATACTGTTGTAAGCATGGCTAACATGGTCGTATTTTCTTAAACTACACGTAAATCTGAGGCAGTTGTTTTGAATCACTTGTAAACGTCTTTTAGTGAGCTGATCCAAGTAAGGCTGGTAAAGAATATTGCAATAATTGATAATTGGAAGAATAATGGATTCAGCAAGTTTTTTTACGCAAAGAAGAAGGCAGAACACGTCTGTTTGCATATAGAACACGTAATTCCCAATATGATTTTTGTAATATGCTAGAAACATGACTTTTGAATCTTAAGTTAATATCTAAAATGACACCAAGTATTTTAGACTCATTACTAAATTCTACTCTATCTGATCCAATTTTGGGATGAAATGTTTGGAGGATGCGCTCACGTTTAGTAATAGAGCAGAATAACATGATTTTGGATTTAGAGGAATTTATCATCAAATTGTGCTTTATAGAATAGCTATAAACTACATCAATATCCTCTTGTAACACGACGGCTGCTTGTTAATCATGTGGATCAAAATGATAGAGCAACTGGGTATCGTCTGCGAATGACTGTATTGTAGAGTTAGCTACTACAGAAGGCAAGTCTGCAATATACAGGGTGACTTTGAAGTTGAGTCATTAATTTTCAGATAATGATTGTAGAAGGAAGATAAACCAAAATATGTGTGTAAAAATAAAAAAAAAATAAAAAAAATGTTACCTTGTTTAATAAAGTATCCTCCCGACAAGTATTTCAGTGCGGACCTGTATTTGATCGTGCGGTCTTGGAGCAGCATGCCCTCACCTGTGAGGTCTTAAGTCACCTGATTCACGAGCCCTTTGCACTACATTAACAAAGGCACGAGGGGTTGGTTGCACTCGATTGGGAAACCGATTCGCATAAATCCGTGATGCATCCGGGAGCATTTTGTAAAGACTGCCCCCCCGTAAATAAGAATCATGTCCACAAGTTCAGCATTTTCGTAAACATGTGCCATTTTTGATTTCGTTTGAGCCACGCAACACACTACTATTCACTCAGGATTTATCGACTGACGAAAAACATCGTGATAAACGTTTCAAATTCTTTCGCTTTTTTGTTTCCGATGCGATGAACCGGTCAGGCGGATTATATCCGTTGTCGCCAAACACGAGCATATAATAGGCAGGGCGGTACTCAAACTTCCAAAGGGCTATAACTTTGTTACTTTAATTTTACCAGAAAAATGGTAAAGGAAAAAAACATTTCTTTTGATCAGATCTACTCACTGTTAAAATAAATGACTCAACTTCGAAGTCACCCTGTATATTAGAAATAACAAGGGTCCCAAAACAGATCCTTGTGGAACACCAGATATGATATTGGTAGAGTTATAAAAAGTATTATTAATGACAACACATTGGGACCGATTAGCTAATTA